CCCCAAATCCACCAGCTTGTGGAGATAAAGGTACAATTCTTCTCTCCTATCCGGATATACAGAGCAAATCACATCTCTGTATATCCCGAAAGCCAACACAAATTCGGGAATAGATAGTTTTCGATTCAACCTAGGGTCCCTAGATTTTAACAAAACCGACACATCCCCATAAGCATAGGTTTTATTCTCAAGGACATCTTGCGAGGCTATAAGAAGTGATACCAGATTGATATCCTTCCCTTCCAAGATGTCCTTCTTAGTGTTTGGAGGCACCATATGTGCCGGATTAATAATATGTGGGTTTTTAAGACCGGTTGGTATATTACCCGGTAGGGGGTCCAGGCGCACCGTAGCGACCGGAGTCCCTAATGCAGGATACGACCGTTGCTGGCTATCTGCATCCATCTTGTCAAGTTTATCAGTAATACGACTCAAAGAGGTCAAGACTGAGGACAAAACGGTATGCAGATCAGAAGACTGGCTGCCACTGGACCCTTCCCCCGCCCCTGAGTTATCAGTCTGAGTATTCAATAGTCTGTACAATTCTGCTTTCCTAGCAGTAGCTGGGAAAGGAATATTCCTCTTGCGTAGTTCGGCAGTGATCCAAGGAATGGTCCATGCCCTGAGTGATGCAGGGCTCGCGTTGTCGTCACCCCGGGATGGAGTGACCGATCTAGCCGGTGTGCTGGGGATGGACAAATCTTCCCCGCCTTCGGGTATTTGTGACATGCTACAACATAAAATAATATGTTACCTGGGGTCCTACCCAACTGGCTGGTGTAACTAATGCCAAGAGGCGAAAGTATTACTTAGTACGTAACCGGTGAGGCCCTACTAGTTGCCAAGCGGCTTTGAGAGGCACTATCTATGATTTGGCTCGTGTGAGGTATAATACCATATGTCATAACCTTAATGACCATCAGGGGTCGTGGAACCAAAACAAAAGAGAGAAACAAGGCACTATCTATGATTTGGCTCGTGTGGGGTTTAATACCATATGTCATAACCTTAATGACCACCAGGGGTCGTGGAACCAAAACAAGAGAGAGAAACAATAATGATAACCAGCCACCAGAGGTTGCCCTAGTGCCTATCACAATATAATTTAACATCTAGTATTGGGAGAAGAGAAGAAAGGGAAAAACGATTCGGTAAATGAACGGCCCTAAGATGACCAGAATATGACACGAATTGCCCCACACGAATAAATATTCATGCATAGCTATAACCGTTTCTGATCTGTAACCAAATGCCGGTATTCGTGTAATTACGAACCGAACTACTACCTTGCTTGTGACCGTCGTACTACGATGATGTAGACCGGCCGCGCCGGAAATTGTGACGGCCGTATAACTTACAGTTTTACCGCAACGAAAACCCCGCGACCGCCTGAGCCGGACGAACCTGGAGGAAACAGGACCCTGGAAGCTGACAACGGAGATACAGGTAAGCAGAGTGGCGGGAAGCCAACCGGAAGTGACGATCTCGGCGTGGTTCAGGGATGTGGTCAATTGCCGTAAATTTAAGTGATGTAAGAGGATGTCCTAGAAAACGCATACAACGTCCCAAGCTCCCTACAATTGATGTTACTTCAGGGGAGTCAGCATCGGACAGTGAAACAAGCAAACATAGAGCTTTTTTAGGAGCAACAGGATGAACCACTATAACTCGGAGCCGAATAAAAAGTCAAGACAAACTTACATCAGGAGAGGACAGGGTGGGAAGACCCATAAGCAACAGGGCGAAACCGCCTCTCATGAAATAATACCAGTATTTAATCTGTCTGCAAGACAGTTGTCAGCGGATGGAATGCAAATTTCGAGTAAAGGACTTTCATTTGTTCTTTCAACGAACCCTCAACTATTTAAATGGAACATTGAAATGTTTCGTTTCGGAAGAAATTTAGGTTTAAAGGAATATTTTGCTAAAAAATCATCTCAAAGCCATACTTTTCAAGATCCTTCATATACAAAATTTCAATCTAAATCATCTTTTGATCCGGTTTCTAATAATCCTACTATAAAGTCCTATTTGTCTACAACTATGGGAGAGACGAACAGACAGATTAAACAATATAAGAGAAGACATCAAAATATCACCTTTAAACAAAGGAAATTAATACGAAATTTAGCTGAAGATCCCAGCATCATCATACGCCCAGCTGATAAAGGGGGAGGAATTGTGGTAATGCAATATGACTATTATGCCTATGAGCTTAGACAACAACGGCAATGTCTTTAACCTATAAAAAATTATTCAAAGATCCAACAAAAGAGATACAACGAAAAATGTATGAAATTTTGAATACAGGAATATTGGCCGGATACTTAGAACCTCAGATGGCAGAATATTTGTACAATAATACTCCCTCTATACCGGTAATTTACACTATTCCAAAAATTCATAAGGATCCAATACACCCCCCTGGACGGCCAATAGTCTCGGCCGTGGGAGGTGTTTTGGAACCTATTACTAAATGGTTAGATTCTTTATTTAAACAGCCAGTTATGGAATTGGAGACGTGTATTAAAGAAACACCTTCATTAATAAAGGAATTGTCATCATTGCAAATCAAGGGAAAGTCCATAGTCTTGATGACTATGGATGTTAAAAGTTTGTACACAGTCATACCCCATTCACAGGGGAATGATGCCATGAGACAAGTCCTGACACAGTCGAAGGCCTACAAAGGTCCTCCCATTGAATATATCTTACAACTCTTAGACTTAACATTATCCAACAATTATTTTAGATTTGAGAACGACTGGTTTCTGCAAATAGCCGGTACATCAATGGGCGCGGCCATGGCTCCATCATATGCCAATATCTTTATGTATATTTTTGAAACCACTCACATTCTACCGATGTCTGGCGATAATATTCTTCGATTTTTTAGATTTATTGACGATATTCTTATTTTTTGGACTGGCACTGAACAAGAGGCTCAAACAATGGTCCATAAGTTGAATAGACTTGATAGTCCTATCAAATTTACATCAGAGATCAGTACTGATAAAGTGCATTTTCTGGATTTACAAATCTGGGTGGAGGAAGACAGTATACAGTATTCACTATACACCAAACCTACAGATCAAAATATGATTTTACACGCACAAAGTGCACATCCAGAATGTTTAAAAGCTTCACTTCCTAAGGCACAGTTTTTGAGAACAATACGGAACAACTCTAATGAAGAAATAAGAGAAGAGCAATTACAGCTCATGATGAAGAGATTTGTGAACCGTGGCTATAAAAGACAACATTTGGAAAAAGCTTTACAACAGGCCAGAGAGTTTATACCCAGGAATGTTTCCACAAAGAATCGTTTGGTTTGTTCCACTACTTTTAATGATTTATCAGTCAAATTATCAAAATCTGTTACAAGAAATTGGAATATATTAGCTCAAGATCGTACACTTCCACCAATATTTCAGGAAAAACCTCTAATTTGTTACAAACGTAATAGGAATTTACGAGACATACTTGTTAAAATGGACCCAACACAAAGTTATGTGCGGGAAGGCAAGAAACAGTATCGGGGTGGTGTTAGATGTCTAGGTTGCGTGACTTGTAGCCATATGGTTCCTTTGCACACCTTTAATCATCCACATACCAACAAAAAGTTCCAGATTAATCATACCATTACCTGCAAAACATTGTTTGTTATATATAAATTGACTTGCCCATGTGGGTTGTCATATATAGGTAAAACAGAGACTCCTTTATGTGAGCGCATTAGAGGACACCGGTCAAATATTCGCACAGCTTATAGAGATGGCACTAGCGATAAACCAGTGGCGAAGCATTTTTTGGATCTACAACATCCTCTTACATCACTTAAATTTACGGCAATTGACCACATCCCTGAACCACGCCGAGGTGGAAATAGAGCAAAAATGCTCTTGAATAGAGAAACATATTGGATTTTTCGTCTGGATACTGTCTCTCCCAGGGATCTCAATGAATTAATTTTGTTTCACTCTTTTTTGTGATATGCCTTTGTCTTGCATAGAATGTTTTTAAATGTGTATGTTAAGCGACAGATGGTTAGTAAAGGATTAGATAGGTAATTTAAAAACATATACAGAAATGTGGATTTACTTACAGCAGTCTATAGTATTTAGGCAGGGCCGGATTAACATAGGGGCTGATGGAGCTGCAGCTCCAGGCCCAGGCCCATGGAATAGGCCCATTTAAAAAAAAAAAACACACTACTCTTAGGTTTGCCACCTGACTGGTATTTTAATGGCACAGACGGTATTTGAGGCTGCCTGGCCCTGCCGGTATTGCAGTAATACCAGCAATACAAATGCAGGTAATTTTCTCAGAAAAAATGGAAATTACTCTGCAATACCAGCACCGGCCAGTAGGGGTGTGTGGAGAGAGGCAGGGATAGGAAGTTACAAAATATCCCTGCCTCTCTCTACTACTCCCTGATCCGTGGGGGAGCAGCTACACAGCACAGAGAGTCCAGACAGCAGCTCTAGAGCTCAGGTAAGTGAGGGATCGGGGGAAAGGCAGCAGGGACACATGGGGACACTGAGACACTAGGGGACACATGGGGACACTGAGACACTAGGGGACACATTGGGGACACAGACACATTGGGGACACAGACACTAGGGGACACAGACACTAGGGGACACAGACACTAGGGGACACATGATGACACATACACTAGGGGACACTGAGACACTAGGACACAGACACTGGGAGACCTGGGAACACTGAGACACTTGGGGACACTGAAAAACATGGGGACACTTAGACACTTGGGGACATATGGGAACACAGACACATGGGGACACAGACACTAGGGGACACATGGGGACACTGTCACTAGGGGACACTGAGACACTAGGACACATGGGGACACAGACACTGGGAGACCTGGGGACACTGAGACACTAGGGGACGCTGAGACACTAGGGGATGCTGAGACACATGGGGACGCTGAGACACATGGGGACGCTGAGAGACATAGTGACATTGGGAGACATCCCAGTGTCCCTATATGTCCCAGTGTCCACATGTCTATGTCCACAACTGTCCCCATGTCTCCCAGTGTCCCCAAGTGTCTGTCTCCCAGCCAGTGTCCCCTAGTCTCCCAGTGTCTGTGTTCCCATGTCTGTGTCCCTAGTGTCTTAGTGACCCCATGTCTCCCAGTGTCTGTGTCCCTAGTGTCTCAGTGTCCCCATTTCTCCCAGTTTCCCTAAATGTCTCAATGTCCCCGGGTCTCAGTGTCCCTGGGTTTCTCAGTGTCCCCAGTATCCTAGTGACATGGGGACACACTGAGACATTGGGACGCTGGGAGAAATGGGGACACAGACACTGGGAGACTAGGGGACTGGGCGACAGGGGGACACTGACACTGTGATACATAAGGACACTGAGACACTGGGTGACTTGCGAGACTGAGACACTGGGAGACAGGGAGACACTGGGAGCAATCCATCTATACAGCAGAATCAAACTGTGAGTAGTTTGGTGATTTTATATAATTTTCTCTGATGTCACTCCTTGTGATTTACATCATGTGATGTCACGCATAACCAATTAATTATACAAATTATTAAGGCTGGTACTTTTTTTCCAAGAAAGGTGGCAACCTTAACTACTCTTCACATACTCTTGCTTAAAGGAGCACTATAGGGTCAGGAACACAATCATGTATTTCTGACCCTATTATGTTAAAACCACCACCCTGGCCCCTTCTTGCCTCCCTAAATATAGTAAAATATTACTTGTATTAAATTCTGCAGCTGCTGGCTCAGAAGTGGTGGTCTGAGCAAATTACAATACTTCCCCATAGGACTGGCTGAGACTGTCAACTAGGCAGATCAGGGGCAGAGCCAGCACAAGTCCAACATAGCCCTGGCCAATCAGCATCTCATCATAAAGATACATTGAATCAATGCATCTCTATGAGGAAAGTTCAGAGTCTGCATGCAGAGGGTGGAGACACTGAATGGCATTGCTGCACAATAGGCAGTACTGCCCCCAGGAAGCACCTCTAGCAGCCATTTAAGGAGCAGCCAGTGGAGTTATTTTCTCTGAAAAGACAGTGTTTACTGCAAAAAGCCTGAATGGAATGATTCTACTTACCAGAACAAATACAATAAGCTGTAGTTGTTCTGGTGACTATAGTGTCCCTTTAAGTTTGGAAGGTTAAGAGGGATGTATGTGAACAAAACTTGTGTGCACTTGCTGACATTAAAGTTAGTTTAGGTAATGCAGATGTTAGTCTCTCTAACACTGTGGCATGTCCCCTTTCTTCTACACTCACTACAGACCTCTTTTCTCTGTCTCAGACTATATACCAGGAACTTCTGCCTGCTAGTAAGAAGGTAAGGAGACAAGTGGACCAGCGAGTGCTAGGGGACAGTCTTTTGAAAGAATGGAGTGAGCGCATCATTAGATGCATTTATGTCAAGCTCAAGGTGCTGCCTGCATAGTATGCCCTTAGTTGGACAGCCTGTAGGATTGGCAGGCAGCCTGACATGCATTCATGCCAGGCTGACCTTCCAATTCTTTGGACAAACGTTCCCCTTTTTGGGCATGTTCACCCCTTTTGGCAGGTCTTGTCACGTGATTTGCGCCAGTGGCACACCCTTTTACCCCACCCATTGACTTCCTGCTTCACTGGACATTGCTGTTAGGGGTTATGGATTTACTTGAAAGATGAAATCATAAATTAGAGAGGGATTAGCATAGAGTATGTGTTTTCTTATAGCTGCATCCTATGAGTTTCCCTCCAGCACCATCTCCATCAGATACATGAAGCTTTGGAGGTATGATTGTTTTAGTGTTTTTGGTCAATAAGATTCCGTAATTAGGCCCATCATAATTGTCAGCACCAGGCCCACTGTGCTCTTAATCCGGCCCTGTATTTAGGTATAGAACTATAAGATGATTGTAGCTTTAGGATAAGCACGTTTAAATTACCATTACTGTGACTTTAATTGATAATAGGTATGTCGTGGCTATACTTATTGTCTTGTAAACTATCCTATCTTAACCTGGTCGCTCAATAGTGTAGTAAGATGCATACATAGGAGTGCCTGGAGCATTATGTTGCCTCCCTGAATTTTTTTGCACTATATAGTATTAAACAATATAGATTTACACAGATATATATATATATATATATATATATATATATATTATATATATATATATATATATATATATATATATATATATATATATATATATATATATATATGATTACACAATTATGTAAATATCTGGCACTTTCGGAGAGATTGCAATACTATGTTCACCTATTACAGCAAACAGTAGTAGTTCAATACGATAATTTTGTCTAGTAACATATTTTTTTAAAACATAAATCAGTTTTTTCAGGCACATGGCACTTTCAGAATTTATTAATTACTGCAAATAAGAATTTTGAATAGTCTGATTTATTATATTCACATAAAGGAATTAGATTAAGGGTATGGCTGAATAGTGCTCGAGAAATTGCATCCTATGTGGCACATTGCTACATGATTTTAAATGAATGTATCATCAAATTTGTTTCTTTTTCTGTATATTCTTTTTTTGGTTACATTCATTGTGTTTTTTTATCACATGTAGAGAGGCATCTATTACAATGTGATACTGTTACTATAACGACGTCTTATGACGTCAGTGCGTAGAAGCCGACGGTCAGCGTCATGACGTGGACACTTCACACATGCGCGCTGTTAGAAGGAGAACGCCGGTATCTTGAGCTCTCATGTGTGGTAAGTTAAATCCATAATTAATGTCGCTATATATGTAATATAGTTTTGGGTGTACTGTATGTCATTTGATCCTGAGGAAGGTCCCTGTGCGGACCAAAACGTTGATCCTGTTCGTCTTTCTTATGGAATAAAATAAGAGTTTCATCATTCAGACCGTGAGTGCAGCCCTTGAATTTATGTTGATGTTTTGGAGTATAGCTATTTCCTCCTATGGACTAGCACCCGGCAACTTTATTTAACACTGTGGGTAAATTTTTACACACAAGTTATATTCAGCATGAGTGCATTGATTCTACCTGGTTTTGTATATATATATATATATATATATATATATATATATATATATACACTGCTCAAAAAAATAAAGGGAACACAAAAATAACACATCCTAGATCTGAATGAATTAAATATCCTTCTGAAATACTTTGTTCTTTACATAGTTGAATGTGCTGACAACAAAATCACACAACAATTAAAAAATGGAAATCAAATTTTTCAATCCATGGAGGTCGGGATTTGGAGTCACACTCAAAATTAAAGTGGAAAAACACACTACAGGCTGAGCCAACTTTGATATAATGTCCTTAAAACAAGTCAAAATGAGGCTCAGTAGTGTATGTGGCCTCCACGTATCTGTATGACCTCCCTACAACGCCTGTGCATGCTCTTGATGAGGTGGCGGATGGTCTCCTGAGGCATCTCCTCCCAGACCAGGACTAAAGCATCTGCCAACTCCTGGACAGTCTGTGGTGCAACGTGATGCTGGCAGATGGAGCGAGACATGATGTCCCAGATGTGCTCAATTGGATTCAGGTCTGGGGAACGGGCGAGCCAGTCCATAGCATCAATGCCTTCGTCTTGCAGGAACTGCTATCACACTCTAGCCACATGAGGTCAAGCATTGTCTTGCATTAGGAGGAACCCAGGGCCAACCACACCAGCATATGGTTTCACAAGGTGTCTGAGGATCTTATCTCGGTACCTAATGGCAGTCAGGCTACCTCTGGCAAGCACATGGAGAGCTGTGCGGCCCCCCAAAGAAATGCCACGCCACACCATTACTGACTCACTGCCAAACCAGTCATGCTGGAGGATGTTGCAGGCATCAGAACGTTCTCCACAGCGTCTCCAGACTCTGTCACGTCTGTCAGATGTGCTTAGTGTGAACCTGCTTTCATCTGTGAAGAGCACAGGGCACCAGTGGCGAATTTGCCAATCTTGGTGTTCTCTGGCAAATGCCAAACATCCTGCACGGTGTTGGGCTGTAAGCACAACCCCACCTGTGTACATCAGGCCCTCATTCCACCCTCATGGAGTCTGTTTCTGACCGTTTGAGCAGACACATGCACATTTGTGGCCTGCTGGAGGTCATTTTGCAGGGCTCTGGCAGTGCTCCTCCAGTTCCTCCTTGCACAAAGGTGGAGGTAGCGGTCCTGCTGCTCGGTTGTTGCCATCCTACGGCCTCCTCCATGTCTCCTGATGTACTGGCCTGTCTCCTGGTAGCGCCTCCATGCTCTGGACACTACGCTGACAGACACAGCAAACCTTCTTGCCACAGTGTGCATTGATGTGCCATCCTGGATGAGCTGCACTACCTGAGCCACTTGTGTGGGCTGTAGACTCTGTCTCATCCTACCACTGGAGTGAAAGCACCAGCATTCAAAAGTGACCAAAACACCAGCCAGGAAGCATAGGAACTGAGAAGTGGTCTGTGGTCACCACCTGCAGAACCACTCCTTTATTGGGGGTGTCTTGCTAATTGCCTATAATCTCCACCTGTTGTCTATCCCATTTGCACAACAGCATGTGAAATTGATTGTCACTCAATGTTGCTTCCTAAGTGGACAGTTTGATATAACAGGAATGTGATTGACTTGGAGTTACATTGTGTTGTTTAAGTGTTTCCTTTATTTTTTTGAGCAGTATATATATATATATATATATATATATATATATATATATATATACACACACACACTTTTATTTCCTTTTATTTCCTATATATGTATAATATATTATAATTAAAGCATTTTATAATACATTATACACATATAATGCATATTGATTATTTCATTATAAGTGTATTTTGAGATATATGTTTATATATCTCAAAGTACACTTATAATGAAATTATATATATGCATTATATATGTAAAATATATTATAAAATGCTTTAATTATTTTATAATATACTATACATATATAATAAATGTATTATATATATATATATATATATATATATATATATATATATAATTGAAACAAAAGAACAAAATATTTAAAATAGTTACAATAATTACCCCTATGTTCAGTTAAAAACCTTTAAAGATACAATAGGAAAAACAGACATAGGGTAATAACGTACAAATAATAAGTAAATGAGTAAATAATTTTATAAACTCACATATTTCTGAGCCACTTAAAATAAAAGCTGGCTCAGACTAAGAACGTTGAATGGGTTAAGGAGTATCCCTGCATA